ATCTCATGCTGTGTGTGTGTGTGTGTGTGTGTGTGTGTGGGGGGGGTCTGAGTGAGACAAAACAGGGCCTTGCAGCCCTGAGCCAGACGGTGATGGTATCAGAGGAGAAAGGAAACTGCTGGAAAACATGAGGGAAAGTTTAAGGCGCTGCAGATGGCCAAGACACGTGTTTACCACTCGGTGGATTTCCACTTAAAAGCTTCACTGACGGATGGATTTCCAAGACATTGTATTCAGTATGTATTCAGACACATGAAGGTCCTACATGGAAGTTACACTAAAAACGTAGATATTAAAAGTAGCAGTACAACATATTCTGCTACATGTCAAGTCTTTCACTCACTTTTAAAGTGTATACCAGTTTAAAATCTACACTAAAGTAAGCACAAAATAGTTTCCATTTTGAAGCACCAAAAGTAAAATGAGTCATTATGCAGAATGGCCAGTTTCATAATAATTATTTATATTATATGAAAGCCAAAGTTTAGTGTTGCAGCTGGTAAAGGTGGTGCTGATTTAAAACTGTATTCCCACTAGGACAACCCATGCAAAACTTGATGGTAAATGTACTCCATGTGAGAACTTCATGTAACAGGAAGAGTACAATTGAATAAGTATAATATTTTCAACCTGGGAAATTATCAAAATAAGCAATATTAAAAAGTGCTTATTATGTAACATGCCCTTTAAAGCTCTTTTTTTATTAAAATAAAACATTCTGTCGTACAAAAATACAAATGTATTCCTCTGGGAGGCCCCTGAAATCATGTCACCTTTTCTGAAAAAGGCTTCCATCTTCCACCAGTTTTTAATATATAATTAGGCTTTAAATGCAAACTTTCCTTATTTCTTATATCGTATATTGCAACTGTGTGGTACTTAAATGTTAGTGGACATTTTTTGGGGGTGCTTTTATTTTGAAATGTCTTTGGGGGTGCTGCTTCCTTTAGAGGTTGACCTTCTAAAACCAATCTGATTGTATAATTGACAAACATTCAGCCATTTTGTTTTGTATAAAAGAGTGTTTTTAGTTTTTTTTACACTGTCTCTAAAACGCAATGAACTGAGCTCTGTCATGGTTGAAGTAGCAAGAAACCACTCTGTAAAGTGTCCTTGTCTGACCATGGAAACACCTGGTTGCATCTTAAAAAGGTAAAACAATCATTCAAACAATTCAGAAAGCACAGCTACTTGCTTCTACGTTTTGTTATTATTTCAAAACTGTTAGACCACATCTGATTTTCATTGAGATAATGTCAGCTTTAAAATAGTTTTATTGTATGATTTGACTGTATTATGCCTGACTAAAATGCACAAAGTTAGTAGTTGATAGTAGTTGATAGAACAAGAGGGGAAGTAAACAAATACTTTTACTGAAGAACTGAACCTAACTTCAATTTGGGGGTACTTGTACTTTACTTGGGTGTTTCAATAGTATGCTACTTCTACTCTTTTAAATTTGAATATCATACTTGTTTTTAGACAATAGGTGGTTTTACAGGAAAGTGCAGCACAACACCGTGGGAGGACTGTTCAGGGAGTAGACACCTTTTCTACTTTTCGGTCCTGCATTTCTGAGTAATTGTGAAGAGATTATTAATTGTGCTCACTCATATATTCTCAGTTCCTACATTTAAATATTTCAATGCCATACATGAGGGGGTCCCAGGTATCTTTTAAGGGGTCTTTACAGTTAGGGAACCTCTGCTGCAGTCTGTTGTCAGGCAGGATCGTCAGTCCTGATTCCTGGGCTCAGACTTGCAGCGAGTGTGTCACTGAACAAATGTTTTAATGCTTTTTATTGGATTAGTGGGCTCAAAGAGCAGCAGGCTGGTCGATGGTCCACTCCGACTGATGGGTAATAGCATTATCCTGCATGGGCCTGTGGATTGGCAGACAGGCGGACAGAGCTATCCTATCATTGATCGGCTCTCCCCTCCAGGGCCACTCTGATGCTAGCCTCCATCCAGGGTTTCATTTGTTTATGAAATATTGATATTGGCTTTCTATCGCCTCTTGGAGATGGGGAGATTCCGCTTGATGGAAATTAAAGCGTTTAGACATGTTGGAAAAAGGTTTTGTGAACTGAAAGTACTTTTTTCTCTGGCAGAGACGTAATCGGTATATTAATTCCAGAATTACACCATGAAGGCTTTTTCTTTTTGTGCCATATTTCCTTCTTTAAAAGAATGAAAGTCCCTGCAGATAAAAGGGAAACACCTCTGCTTCCTTGTACGTTTTTCGTTAAATCGTAAAGCTCAGCAGTTTCGTGTTACACTGCGATCACTTTACTTTTTAACCGTGTATTGAACCCTTAAAGGAGAGGTAATCCTTTAAACTTCAACACTTTAAACAACCCAAGGCAATGCAGACTTTTATATTCTAATTACTGATCCAGGCAGAAGTACTCATGCTTATCATCAAATACTCAATGCTTACCAACAAGGCCCACAGCAATATTTCAAACATAATGGCTTTTAGATCTGCATGTTGATAGCGCCCTCTGTATGCAAACCACCCCTGTTACCAGTCCCTCACCAGATCTCCCTTTTATTTAGAAAAGCTTTCTTTAACCTTCCCTCAACCACAAAACAATCTAACTCTGGCTCCTGCAGCGCGAGATGGATGCAGTCGATCTTGTCAGTAAACCGATGCTTTAGTCTTCCCTTAATGACAGTCAGGATTGACGGGCTACCACAGCCAAAGCCTTTTATGCAGGGGAAGAGCCTCTTGGATCAATAGTTGTTACCTAGGCAAAGCCCACACAACCACTAATGAATCCAGTGGCTTACAGAACAGGCTGCTCTACACAGGAGACAAAGCTTGGACATATTTATCACTTTTTGTGGTAATGTGGTAATATGCATCCGAATATACCCTCCACGTTGGATTGAAAGAAACAAAATGAAGAGATTAGTGTGCGTTTTATTAAAATAAATTGTAAATAGAGAGGTGAACAGACCTGTCATGACACTAGAGAGTTTTGTTTGTTGTGTTGTGTTGCAACATGTCAGTGGTCTGTGCTCTGGGACTGGTTCTGTTGTGTTTGAGTCGTCGCTGTCTGGCACACTCATCCGTCTGTCTGCTCCACTTTTTCAGTTTTTAAGCGTAGGTTTAAAGTACTGATAAATCAAAGGTGGATGTTAGTCACCTGTCTGGGATTTCTAATTATAAAAAGGCTTTGTGCCAACAAGGTAGCAGGTGCAGTGCTGTGTGTTACACTCCACGAGTATTTAGACAGTGACGCATTTTGCTTTGTTTTGGTTTTGTACTCCAGCATATTTGATTTGGATTAAATAATGATGAGTGACAAAAACTCTAGTCAGGTGTCAAGAGTTGTTTTTTTCAGGATGTTTACAACAATGTTTAACTCGTACCACTTTAATACAGTTCGCCTATTTGTTTATGACAATGCTGGAGACCAATAACAACAAATTATATATAATTTCTGGAAGGTTTTCCAGCTTGAGTTTGAAATTGTCCCCTTGTGAAATCTTTGAAAAAACAAAGAATTGACCATTGTACCAGGGGTTTGAATTTTTGGCAATTTGTTGTGTTTTACTTCATTTCGTTTGTATACAATTTAAGAAAGAATATAACATTACTAATATTTAGGAATGCTTATAATCAGATTGAATTACATAGTCTACGAATCAAAAATCTAACTGATCATCTTGTGTCTTTCCTATCCACAACACCCTTGTCTTCCCACTAGCAGCTGATTTCCACTGCAGACATAGAAACCTCTCAGATGAGCCGACACACTTCCTCCTGCACTGTGCTGTGTATTACAGATAACACTTGATGGATTTTGACAGGCTGGATTCACAAGCAGCTAGAGACCCTCCAGATCCACAGAGATATGAAATGATGGCCGTCTCTACTGGCCCTGCACCTACCAGGCATTGTGACAGATACCATCCTGCTAAGCCCAGCACTTTGCTGCTCGTCTGCAGGATATTAGCTCCGCCAAAGGTTATTCATAGACTATCAAACCAGAGCTGCGGTCAGGAAATGCTGACTTGCGTGTAAATATCAATTAAATTAGTCGGAGTGCCTGTTGCTGAGGGTGCACTTCCTCATTTTACTGGCCACAGCCGCTAACAGTGCCGCGTAAATCACATCTGTACAAGAAATAAGAGGCATTTATTAGATTATACGTGTTTACACATTCATTTATTATGCGTTTGGTCATTACTGGACATATGGCAGAGAAAGATTATGGTAAACATTGATCATGCGCTGATTTTATTGACATATCGTTTGAATAATGAAGCTGATGTGGTAGTAAGTAATAATACATGACATTTTTATATTAATAAATACTTTGTTGTGATAGATTTCTCTTTTCTGAGAAAATCCTTTGGTGCACAATTAAGTCACTGACAAAAGTCACAGTGGTTTGATGAAATAATCAAAAGATGTGAGTTGTTAGTACAAAATAAATCATAAAAAACATCCACATTTGGCAGAGGATTGAAAACAACAAATCATTTATAATTTAACACCAAATGTTACAAAAATGAAAAGCACAAATGGAGAATCTTGCAGAGGAAATCACTTCTTATCCCTTGCACAACCTGAGGCACAGCATTGGTAACCAGTGAGTTCTGGTTGTTTTGGTTGGAGGGGTTTGAATGTGTTTAAAACACAAGGCACATTGTGGATTCTCCGGTGCCAAACTCCAAGCCTCTTGTTTTTCACGCCTGAAAAAGTAACCTCTGCCCCCCCCAACCCCCCCCTCTTTCAGAGTTATGTAGGCCAGCTTGCTCAGCAGAGACAAAATGGGAGCACAGCTCTGTAGATGCAGCCTCAGCAAAACCATCCCTTTAAAGCTGTAGGTGCAGGAGCCATTTCTCATGGGAGACTGGATTATTACCGTATGCAGCTGAGGTAAAAGCATAGACACTCTCCATTATTATTTAAGTGGTTAGTGACTAATAATTTACAGATTGATACAAAGCAACACAGCTCAAACATGCAAGCAGTTCATATTCAAACAGCTACAATATAAAATAAATTAACATCAAATGTCTTTATTTTAAATATCTACTGTATAAAGAGTTGACGCAACCCAAAAAGCTAATGAAATTGCTTTTGTGATTAAATGAAATCGTTTCTGATAGGGAACCAGTGCATGTTTTACCCAATTTAAAATCAACACACTGCATTGATCTGATGGGAATCATTCTTATGAGTGTTTGGAAACATAAGGATATGTGGTGCTCAGAATTCAGTCAACAGTCAGATACAACTGAATAAAGGTGAAATTATTGACATCTATAAAAGTTCCAAAGAGAAAGGTATGTATGTGTACACCTGGTCAATACAATTTTATTCATGACTGTATCAAGTAGGGGTGTCTTAATGCAATATACTGTATATGTATCGATAACTGTGATATTTCAAAAATTAAATATTGATATTCTGTTAACAATACACTTATAATACAGAATGTTGTGTATGTAAATACTCAAATCTTAAATCATTTTTAAGTTTGTCTCCCTGCTATACACACAAATAAGTGTAATTTAATTGGCAACATAATTGCTTTTCCCCCCAAACATATCTACCTATATATGTTTTGCCATAATAATCATCTGTATAACCATACATCTTTACACCTGTCTGCTTCACTCTGAGTGCACACACACTGCCACATTCTTGTGTCTCTCCCAGTAGTGACAGTCTTCCGGAAAGCTCCACGCAGCTGCAGACTCCTTGTGGCGACTGACGGCGTGAACAACAAACCCACACAGCTGCTTCTCCAACACCTCCACCACGGCCGGGGCGTTCCCCTTCTTCCCCTGGCCCTCCATCGCCTGCTGGATGCAGCCCTGAGGCACCGGCTGTGGTTTGGTGCTGTACGACACCACCAGGTTGATGTTGTTCACCTGCAGCACCTCGAACCAGTTCTTCCCCGCCACGTGGTGGAAATGCTCCCCTGCTCTCCAGTTCCGGTAGGTGCTTCCTGAGTGGTTGATGAGCCGCACCGACCAGCTAACCCAATCATACTTCTTCACCAAGAACTCCAGAAGCTGCTGAGTTGTATCTTGCAGATTATCGCCTTCCTTTTCTTGCAGGAGGTGTTTGGCATCTAGTTTTGCTTGCTCTGGGAAAGCAGCGATGCACGACTCGATGGTGGTCTTCATCCTGGACTCTACTTCTTCAATTTTGCTGCTCCACTCTTGGATTTTGTCATCTTCTTCATCTTGGCGCTGGGTTAAGGCACAGTGGCCCAGCAGAGCAATCAGGCCCAGACAGAAGAGCTCCTTCATCCGGACACAGAAATCTTCCAGGAGACGACGGTTCCTCGCTACATACCTGGAAAACAAAAGAACTATGTATGTCATATAGTGCTCCAACCAGAGAAACCTGCAGTGTTGTTGACAAAGACATAGGAGAACCAAAGAACTGCAATTAATGAAAAACAGGATCAAATATAACAACGTACCTTTCCACTAACTCTAAAACGGACTCTCCAAAGCTGTTTGTCCCCATCAGAGCATCATACAGCACAAACAGGTTCTTCTCTCCTCCGGTTTTGGCAAAGTGCTCCACAAACAGTCTGGTCTTCACCTCCCTGAACTGCGGTTTTGCCTCCAAGATGTCCATATACTTCCGAAACTGGTTCCTAATGTTCTCCTCCACAGAGAAGTACTGGGAATCCAGTCTCCCCTTCTTGATCTCGCAGTCGATGTCTTCCAGTTGTGTGGAGAGCACGTCAAGCTTGTTCCTCACCGCCAGGAACTGCTCCTTGACGTAGAAGACCTCTTTGCTGAGGACATTGTCTAAGGCCAGGCGGAGGACGGGAGCGGCGGCCTCACAGAGCGGGAAGAGCTCGCCCACAGCGCTGGCCAACACCTCGGACCCCTTCTCAAACATGTCCATCACCGCCTCGATGGCCTCCTTTTTCTGGGCTACAGCCCTCTCAAGTGGACTGCTCATGGTCTGAGACACAGAAGGAACAACATCTGGTGTCAAACATAGAAGAAGGATGTGATAACATTTGAGTCTTGTTCTGTTTATTCATGAATAAAAGACAGTTTTTTTTGCGAGCAGTTAAATGCAAGAAGTGTTTTCCCTTTAAAAACCTCAGATTGTTTTTTATCTAATAACTGCTACTGTAGCTGTACCTCTTCTAGCCTCTATTTCACCAAAAGAAAGCAAAGTTCAAATATGATGGCCAAATAAACAACACTATAATTGTGTAACAGAACAACTTACTAAAAGTAAATACCAAATAGAAGAGAAGTTAAATGATTTTCAAAGAGTGTTGATCTCATTTTCCTCTGGAGATAATTTCCCTTAAAGCACACGGTAGTATGAAGAAGCTTTCCTCTTTATTACAAAAGTTATAAAATACATTGATGAACAATTATTCCATTATTTCAGAGCTGAAATAATTAGTCAATTTGTCAACAGTGCTTGCTGCTCCTCTAATGAGAGGATTAACTGTTTTTCTTTGTCTTATTTGATGATCTTTGACTATTTTTGGACATTTCAAACAATTGGCAAATAACAATAAAATAGAACTTAACGCAGCCATGGAATATGTTTACTCAAAGTTGTCAAAAATATCTGTTTTTGTTCCTTTGGGAGTTGATATGAAGGTGAATAATGTCCGGCTCAAATGGAGAAGATTTCAAGCATAAACATATCTTTGCCTTGGCCCTGTCAGTTGTGACAAGGAGATTCATATTCTAAACCTCCCCACCCAGAAGATTGCAGGTAATGATGTCATATAAACAAAATGGGGGCCTGGATGAGAAAATGACATACATGCCCTTGTCTGCGTGTGTCTCATTTCAGAGTAGAGCAAGGCCAAACCATAGTTTGAATCCCCTTTCATCCTCCATGCTACCTGACATCCATAAATGACCTCCTCTCTGTGCAGATGTTTGTCTGAGGATGAACTCCAGATGCTGCGTCACCCAACTCCTCAACAGATGATCATCAATTGCGTTCATTTGTTTAAAAACAACACCATACCTCTCTTATGTTATATTTAAGAGTAACAAATAACGGCCACTGGAAATCCTTTAGTTGGTTAAAAAAAAGTGTGCATTATAAAGAAAATTGTAAAAAAGGTTTGTCATGTGTCCAAACGGCACCCTGTTTAACTGTCATGCGCACCCAAAGAAATGCGCAACTGCAGGTCTTTTTACGCACAAATCCCCTGAGCAGATCGGGCACACCTTAGAGCATATTTACCCCTTAGATGGAAGATAAGGACATTCATCACATTCCTATAATAAGAGCGTTGTTCTGTACCTGAACGAAACGGCTCTGCTGCTCCTTCACGCCTGATGAGCAATAACAGCTGCAAATAAGTCGGTTTTTTTTTCTCCAAGTCTGAAAAAATTCCCACGGTTCTCTCATCCACTGTGGAGCTGAACAGGGCTCCAAAAACAGGATCCAGAGAGGAAGACGAAATGCGCACTGAATATCTGCAAAGGAGAGAGAGAAAAAGGAGAGAGAGAGACAGGCGCAAACTGCAAGAGGTGAAATATGTGGTCGGTTCCATTTTCCTCTCAGTCTCCATGTCAGCACGAAAGGAGGATCATGTCTCCTCTCAACATCAGAAGTAAATATGTTTTGCTTTTCATCATTTCCCAAAAAAATTCGACGGATTTTGCCTAAGGTCTTTTGCGCTTTTGGTGCAAATGTCTCATTCCCATTATGTGCCTTAGCTGTTGTTCCATCCACGTAGAAAGGATCCCAACTTGAGGTAAGAGATCGAGAAACTATTGTTATATTTGTCTTTTCAGTGTTCAAATACGGTGATTTGATGTATTTATTTGTTTTATCATTACAATGACTGCATCTAAAATAATACATGGATGTGCTCACAGAGCTGTGGCGTGAAATACACGTTTGAATTCAGAATATGTTATATCATATTAATATAAATGTTAATGTGCAGGGATGTTTCAACCACACAGTGTTTATTTATAACTACAGATGTGTGCCACCTCTCCACCCAGATTTGGAATACAATACATATATTATGTCAGGGTCAATAATGTTCACTAATGCAATCGATCATGTTAAATTCAAATCGCAGTTAAAAACGATGTGAGTATTTGTATGTATTAGTCAAAGGACTTTATGAGGATTAGCCTGCATAAAACCTCACATCCCCTCATCTGAGCGCACACGACGCACCCTTTGAGAGCCTTATCTGAACCTCCCTTAAAAAGAAAAATCATTACGCAAATCGTTTCTCCTCCAAACCACGAAGAGACTCACGTCATCTATGATGGTGTCTTTTAGAATCATGCGCTACACTTTACTCTTGATTTTTTTTAATAATAAACAATTGTTTTCTTCAGATATAAATGGATTATCCGAAACGAGCTCGTGTCAGGGAGAGAAAACTGAGCTCCATCACATGGTAGACGACGTGCTCTGGTGGCTTCAGAGACACTCATCACTCAGTCTGTGGGGCAGGTAAGCACCTTAAATCTTTGTTTCTCAGTAATCTGCATTTCCAACGCCTGCAATGCACATTGTCTCGTTTCGGTTCCCCAACTCTAAGCTGTTAGTCAAACCTGTTCAGCTGGAAAAAGATGAGGGCCATTCCAGGGGCATTATCCTATAGGCCATGTATTACTTCACCTGAAGCAAAGGCTTAGCCCCCCCTTTGAGCCTTCTCATCAAATAGTTCTGATTGTATTATAGTGTGGACCTTAAGAAGGACGTAGGCTTTAATAGCTTGTCCGTTCTGAGACGCAGGTGTGATGCTTCAGTCCCTAGGGCCCTCGGGGAGTTCTGTGGAAACAGGTGTAATGGTGGAGCAAGCGAAGTACTCACGCCCTCTTGTGTGCACATCAGCAAACTGCACTTTAACCTCCCTTCTTAGACATCAGAATCAGAATACCTTTATTCGTCCAACAGAGGGGACATTTACAAGCAGAAATTGTATCTAAAATGATATACACTTAATATCAATGAAGGTTTCTGATTTTCCAGAAACCAGCGACACTAGAATTTGGGCAAATAGTATAATATACAAGATCCTTAAAATGTTTACATTGAGAGGAAAACACGTTTCAATGAAAGCGAATTAAACTAAAACAAATTACCCCAAAAACCTAGTTTTGTAGGTTTATAACAATTGTTTGGCATTTAAATACAATATCCTCTATTTTAATTTCACTGTTTGGGTTTTCTCCATTATGTGTTTTCTTGTCAGTGGAGAGTACTATTTAAGATTAACGCTTTTTTAGTCGTAGAGGTTTATACTTGTTAGGGGGTGTGTACATTTCTGACGAAAAAAGGCCGATATTTAATGTTTATATTTCATTACATTTCCTATTGAAAAACGAGGAAATTCTGTACACAATAGCTATAAAATACTTTTTTTCCTACCCATACTTGTAACATATCTTTGGTCCTTTTTGATGTTTTTGAGCAATTCATTGGAATTACATTTAGTTAAATATACTATATGACTAAATACAAATAGCCATCCAAAAATGATGTATAATATTTGACTCTCAGCCGGCGTTTCAGTTAATCCCAGGATGGGATGGGGTTGAGGTCAGGTCTTAAATGATTGACAACTCCATATCAGTAATATTCACTCATGTTTATTTATAGTGGTACATATACAACCAGACATCAAAGATTCATAACAAAAAAAAGGCAACATATTCACATGGCATTTCAAAAAAGCCTTGAGGTTCTCATAATATTCCTCCATATCGACAGCATTCTGACTGAGTTCACGTAGCGTAAACTGAATCTGTTGTAACAATAAGAGAGTTGGCGCAAAGCCACAGAACGATAAACCACTTAGGAGTTATGTGTTGAGGGGATGAGAGTAAAAAGGACTAGAAATGTGTAAAGTATGAAAAACGTAGGGGAAGTAAGGACATGATGATCATCAGATATTATGTTTCACATGTTTAGTTGACCCACCTGGTACTATTGATAACACCCGTTGCTAAAACAAACAAAGAAAATAGACAAACACTTACAAAAAGGACTTTAACCACGACTTTGACATTATGCACTGTAGTGTATAAACCATTCCGAACAGTGTTGCACACTGATAGTTAAATGATTAAGATAAAAAAAAACTAAATAATACAAAACTTGCACATTTAGGCACGTTGGTCAGATGAGGAATTAAATAAGAGAAAATTACTTTTAACTTTTGTATAAAATAAAAAATGCCTCAAATAATGGATATTCAATCTTATATAGGGTCTATTTGGCTCTACAGCAAAAAATAACCAATTTATAATTGCATCTATATATTAAAACCCACTTGGTGCACCTCTTGCACGTTATGGATAATTAAAGAGTGGAAGGATTCATCCAGTTATATTACACTTTCCTTAAATAGCACATTTAGAAAGTAAATGATCTGTTTATGAATATAAATCAATGAAGGAGAGTGACGGCATGCATTGTGTATACTGAACTCCATGCATGGAAAACTAACAATCTGTGGCACATGTTTAGTTAATTAAATCATTTATAGTGCGTGATAATGATTATATGATTTCTTATCTGGTACATTCATAGCTCTGGAAACTTTGATATTTGTTCCATGTTTTGGTTTGTTTGCTCTTTCTGTTATAACTTGATTGATAGCTCAACCTGTTGAGTTGTTCGACATCTGCATAAAGATGATGTAGCCTTATAGCTTGGAGGATCTCACGAGGCCCTCTAGTGGAGTAACATTGCACTGAAGCTTGTTTCCTGTTCCTCTTTAAACTTGCGTGGCCAGCTCGTTGTCAATGCCAACCAACTTGTAGTGTAATACAAAAGAAAGTGCATAATGCGGGGGACGCTTTGCAATATCACAAACTGGATCTACATACATTTATGTTAAAGACTGAGTTACAGATGTCTGTGATATCTTGCGTGATATAAAGCCTGTTATGTCACTACATTGCTTTCAGAGTAGATTTATGATTAATGATAATGCTCCCATGTCCTATTTGTCTTAGTGTTCTCAATCAATTCAAACCACTGTAGTGCTTTCTGAATTCATCACATCACTTTTTTATATAGCAAATGTAGTGACATAATTTAGAGTTCTTTACCTTGGACAGAACATACATGCCTGTGGCTCAAAGAGCAACGTTTGGAGGAAAGAATGAGGCATGTTGCTGCTTTTTATCACTGGGCTATCAAGCAGTGAACAGAGATGTTATGAAAAGTGCTTACTGGGAGAGAAAAAGCTAAGAGGACGGAGTTACAGAGGGAATGTGGACATGCGAGTCCTGAATATGAAGGAAAAGCAGCTCCCTCTTCTTCATTTGCACCTGCGAAGCGCCTCCTGCATCTTCTCTTGCACGTGCTCCATCTTCTCGGCCCACTCCTCGGTCAGGCCCTCCTCGTCGTCTCCGATGACGGCGGCGTATCCCATGAGGGCGATGAGGCCGATGCAGAACAGATATGTGAGGCGTGTGCAGAGGCGCTCCATGGTGCGGCGGTCGCCCTGCGAGTGCTTCAGGTACACCTCCAGGATGGGTCTGCTGAAGAGCTTGGGTTTGCCCACCACGCCGTCGTACAGCGTGTGCAGGTTCTGGTCTCCCAGGTCATTGGAATAGCTGTCTTCGAAGTCGCCCTTCTTGCGTTCGCAGTGCTCCGGCCGCGCCTCCACCATCTCCATGAACTTCCTGAACTGGTTCTTCAGGTTCTCCTCCACGCGGCAGTACTGGCCGTCCAGCGTTTCTTTCTTGATCTGAACCAGCGTGTTGCGGTTCATCTGAGAGAGCTCGTCCAGCGCTCGGTTGACTGAGCCAAACTCACGCTTCAGGGTGCGGATGTCCTCGTCGTCGACGTGGTGCAGCACCACCCGGATCAGGGAACCTGCCACGCCAAAAATGGGGTTGACCACAGCTGCTGCTGAGGAGATGGTGGCCACACACTGGAGCACTTTGACCAGGCCCTGTTTCAGCTTAGCCCGGTCCTCAAGGATCTCCTCTTCCATCATGATGCTCCCGCGCTGCAGATGTTGAGGTCACTGCGTGCAGATGTGGATGTCTGTGGAGAATATGGGAGAAAAAACATCACAGTTTACTATTACTGATGGTTTTAGGATGCTACAGCCACAGTCATCAAAAGAAGGCTTTTTGTTGTTTATGGGACATAAAGCATCATATTTAAGAGCCATCCTATACATTTTTTACACGAGCTGTTAAGGCCCGTCCACACGGCAGCGTCATATGCTTCAACGGAGACGCTTCCCATTCACTTTGAATGGGGTTACGTTTTGCCAAACTGCATTGTGGTTCCGTCGCGTTGCTCGCTTCAAAAGTTGAGAAAAGTTTAACTTTTCAAGCGTTGACGGAAGGGCCAGCCAATTAAATCATATGCCAGTACAAGCTCTAGCCAATCAAACCGCGTGCTTGTGTGTCCGGGGCGGGAGATTAATGTGATTGGTTGTTGGTCGCCCACCGGCAAGCTTCAATGCACGCTGGTGTGGACGTACTGTTTATCAGTTCTTTATTCAGTTGCTTTGTTATTAACTGTGGATGTTGTGTTTGAAGGAAGTTTGTCTTTTTTTGGGAGATATGAATGTTTTGATCACAGTTTACAATAGTATTCTAATGATGATTCCAAATCTTTGACAATTGTATTTATCAGATTCATAGAAGAAAGCAAATTAACGCTTTATAATAATTAGTAACTGATTCTCGCAGTTCCTTTCAGACTGATATATTTTCATACTACTTAGACAGATGCATAGTTAATACGAATCTCACAGCAGTTTGACATGATATTCCACCATGGAAAACAAATGATATTGTAAAAAGTCTGATTTGTAACAGTTGAAGAGAGCATCTTACATCAGATTTCCTCTGCTCAGCTAGCACCAGATTCTGGTCCTGCAGTTGCTACAGTAAGAAGGGACACCGGTCCTTATGAGGGTGATTCCTGAAACAAAAGACAGACAAAGATTCACATGATTCAAATATTCCCAACACATTGGATTTTGGCTCATTGTGTCTCTATGAAACCAGGAAGTGAACAGATTATTCTCCCTTGCTGGTTGCAGCTTTCAGCAGTGAAGGAGTTAACAGCCTCTCCTGTGTGACGGAGCTTTATTCAGCACTCCAGCCTTTCAGCACCAGGCTGCTCTCTGTGTGTTCCTATGGGCTGAGCTGATAGCTCCTCAGCAGCAGGAGCGAGCTAAAGGAGTGACGGCATGTTAAGTTGCTAGCAGCAGCTAATGGGCGGGACAGAGAGCTGCAGCAGTACACTGGAGAAACAAATATGCTACAGCTGACTGAGCTGTAAGACTTGTTTATTACCTCACAATAGATACTGTACAGAAAAGGTACATGATTACAAGCAGGTTAAGAGGAGGGATTTGGATGTTTAAAGTCAACTGTATGTGAGCTGCTGAAGGCTACAAGAGGGAGCAGTACAATCTATTGTTGACACTTGTGTTTGTAAAAACAGCATTATACAGGGGTATTTCACTACAAACACAAGCACAGTGACATCAGCTACTGAGGTAAATGTGGTTCATGGACTCAGAGCACTGAAAAAGAAAAGAGTGCTTGTGTGAAGCACTCTGTTATCTTACACTTCAGAAATGGCTCGGCTGTGTGCTCTGGTACTACAGACACATACCACTGTGAGATAACAAAATACTCACAAAGATACTAAAAACACAGAGGATGACCACAAGGCTGAGCATGTTCAAACATGACCAGAGACTGAAATGAGGAGACAGGTGTGAGTTTCTGTTTTGTTTTTACAGAATCTATTTTTAAAATACCCATGTCAACCAGAGAGGGCAGTCATTTACCTATAACGACCAAACAGCCATAATGTCCGCCCTCTGATTTCAGCACCATCACTGTGGACTGAAAGAAGTGACGCTCAGGAGCAGGATTTAACCCTTTAGATTCTGATTGACTCAAAATGTTGTGTTTAAATGCACAAATCCAACAAAAGAATAGGCATATGTTGGTCTTATTCAAACCCTGGGGTTGACTACACATAAGTAATGTTATAAAATGTTGTAAGATGCTTCTTAAAATAAAACTAGTGCTCAATATTGTCCTATCATAAACTCGGTCTCAGTATTTGTGCTAAAAGACATCTGCTCTGCCCATAATATGCCTTTTTGTTTTGCTTTTTCCCATTATGACTGCGGATAAAATGTGTTTGCTTAGTAATTGACAATTCAAAACCAAAAAATGATCAACAAATGTTTACTTCAATGTGTTTTACTTCTATTATGTGTCCTTGTTTTCACAGAGGATGCTTTCAAAACAGAAACCACTCCATGTCTCACCAGATGACGGCAGACTGCAGGAGGAGATGCAGGTAATGAAAGGGTTAATTACAGTTAATTTGACACAAATACCCATTTAAAAATCTTATATTTAATGGTGATATTTTTTCACAGTACTGGTTATTATATTCGATACATCTATAAATCTATAACAAGTTGAAGCTTTTGGTGACTTGGACAGCTTCCTGCAGCTTCATAATAATCTGCATTACAGAATTAACCCTTTGTGCAAAATAAATGATGTTTAAATGTAATCATCACCTTCAAAGACATGTCTTAACGAGTGAGCTTGATTCATTTGTGCCATTTTTTTTATTAATCTGAAGACAGTTAAGGATTCATGTTTAATCATATTGGTTTTGTAATTAAGTAAGATAATATTAATAAAGGCTAAATAACAAAATACATGTCTTCGTGGGTTACCCAATCACTGATCTGCAGCAACATGGCCTTTAGTGAATTCACTTTCACATCACACCCACATGCATTAGGAAAGTCTTGGCTCAAAATGTTGCATGATTTCAACATGTGTGTGTCTCTATGCTTAAACCACCCATAAGAAAATATAAATGTACAGTTATATTGGGAGAAACATTTGACTTAGTGTAAATAAAACAGAGTCTGTCTAATCAGGAAGTGGCAGGCAGCTCTCACCTGCAGTGGAGTGGCCATCTTGAATGTTTTCTAAGATAGCAGCAATGCTAGGCTAATCCACATTTAGACATTATATTCTTTTTAAATGATTCCCAAAGTGCGTATTTTATGTTTTCATGACTTATTTGAATGATTTCCTCACACTTCTTCATGTTAAATTACAGTTTGCTCTCTTTTTACAGATCACAGCATGTTTGGCAGCTGGGACACTTTTACTAAGGAAGTGTACACCCTTGAGGCTGCTGCAGTTTAAACAATAACTATATTAATGAGACTAACATACAACAATGAAGTATCTTCCGGAGTTCTTCTGTTTCGTGAGTACTAAAACAAATAAAACAGCCTCTCTCCTAACAGCTCAGGCCCAGGCAGCTGCCTTCCTGCCCAGCTATGGCTCCCCCTAGCCGTGCCTCCATGTTTCCTTGTTAATGCACACCATAATGCCCTGACCCACCCTGATCTATTACACAGCAAATACACCAAAATATACCTGAAAACCTCACTTTCTTCGTCTAAATGTGTAGTATATAGCCTCCATCTGCCTCTAAGCCAACATTGGGCAGCATTGGTAACAGCAGAAGAGAGGATTTCTTACCTTTTGAGAGTGGCTATGGTTATACCTCCCTCTCCAAAGTCTCTACTTCGACAGCCTCCTTCTTCTTCCCAGCAATCCCTGCAAAAAAGGACACTTCCATGTAAGTTGAACATGTAGGGGTGATCAAATTGAACTTGACTCATTTGTAAGAGCCCAGAAAGACCTCAAAACCCAAGAATGGCCATTTTGGAACCAAATAGAAATATTCTCTATATTTAAATTTTAAAATCGCATATTAATGGAATTAAACAGCAAAACCCACTCCTCAAATACACCATGTACCACCCCTATGTTTTCCACTTATTATGGTCCATCCAGTAGTCATACAGTTGATACTGAAGGGCGATTGTTAGTTGGTGCGCAGCTGAACTCTCAGGCGCATTTTGCTGCCTGTTGTGCGTTTGCCAAGCCCCAGAGCGTCTTGTAGAGCCTAGAAATAGACCATTGGTTGTATTTATGAATCAATTGGACCCTTTTCTTGTTAACTGGACCAAAAAAACTGGAAGAAAAATATTTTCATGAGTGTAGAATCCAACCAGCCAAAGGGAGCTCTTTGGATCCAAATGGACTTCTCCAAAAGTGCACAGGTGCCTCCAAAGGCACAGAGAGGCCTTCAAGGCTTCAGGAGGGGAAAAATGTAAGCTTGCCTGACTTAAAAGGTAATTATAACAACACTTTTCTTTAAATCTTACAAATTATATGAAAAAATCGAGAGCTACACTCAAATATTTTGGAATTTAAAGTCAATTTTAGAGTAAAATGTACCAAATGGTGCAGCTTGCACTACAGACGGTAGAGTAAATACTTTAACGTGTTTAAAGATTTGAATTACTTAAATATATTTGTGTTAATACTGGCAGTACTATAACATATCCTCAACAGTTGTAATTATGTTCTATTGGACCAACAGAAGCAACCAAAGAGTCAAAACCTGAGCTACAAACGCACCCATTCAATGCGCCAAAGTAGTCTGGTCCTTTATCCAAACCTGAACAAGCAGTAGTTCAGTCCTGCAGCATAAAAATAGTAAAAGCTCCAGAAAATCCAGTGGATGCTTGTGTGGGGGATGACGATGACGACGACGGTTGAAGCTGTTTTACCCTAAATAAACCTCTATGCAAATTATGTTGGCAGCTGCCAGCAAAGCGTTAAAGGACAATCCTGTTCCCCTCAGAGCCTGTGATGTCTGTGATGTTTACGTCGTGTATTACAACAACACGTAGTAGCCATACATATGATGGGCGTCTGCCTCGTTGCGTGTCCAGACCTGATATGAGCTTCCAGGTTAAAGACCCCGTGTCCCCTCTATCTCTTTCCCTGTGAGATGCCAAGCCTAAGGCAACCGCAACACAACAGAAGCACTGTCCTCGCTATTTGTAGTGGAAGACAAAATAGAAATGAAAGGCGAGTGAATTCCGTTAGAAATGACAAAGACCTTATTATCTGCTCAGAAACGACCGTCCACAACTCATGCTCGGATGTATTCTTGGTAAAAAAAAATAAAAAAAACAGGCGCATGTGTAGCCCATCAGTCAATACTCCCACAGCCGGAGCTCCAGCCGGACGCGCGCCTGTCCTCATTGTGCTTTTTGCCGCAGCAGCTGTCAAACAGATCATATTTCAAACTGAAGTGCGATGAATAACCTACTCACAGATCCTATATGGTGCTGTAATAACCGCCCTTGTGCAACATCAGCTGTGAGTCGGTCGGCGGTCAAAATGCGTAATGTTCAGGTTGGACAAACAGCTTCTGTTGCAAAACGATCTGTCTTTTTTTTCCAGCTGGTGGCAGGAGGAGCGCTTTGTTGACATCAATAACGATCTCTGCAGGCAGTGAGTATACACAGCACAGGAGAGAGGTGTGGGTACAAATACATCAAAATACTCATATTAACGTTAATTATATTGAAGGCCTATTTGGGTAAAATATATAGCACTGAGCATACTGTATTGTTGTAATTGAGATTAGAAAAGCCTAATATTGTCTGATTTAATTAAATGTGTGATTTGTGTGAATTTTAAAATAAAAATTAATATATGGAAATACTGTTTGTCTTTATTGTGCGGAATTTCCAGAAAAAGATACAGAGAAATCTTTATTTAAAGTGGACCTATCATGCTATATTTGAATAATGTAGTGTAGGACCATACCTATATAAGGTATATTTATACGTTTTATTTTTCAAAATACCAAACAGATCAGGCATTTTGTCCATTCCTCATTTCGCTCAATTTAACACTGCCTTTGCATGGGCTGATTCTGTGAGAACAGCACCATCTAGTGGCCTGGAATATGTACTACAGCGTCTCCAGCGCTTTCGAACGGCAATGTCCGTGGCTGTCTCCTCCTGATTGGTGGAGTTGGCCCAATAGCCGTAGCGCAACTTTTGTGACGTCATAGAAGTGTTCAAATCTGGATCAGTCTGTATCAGATCCGTTGCAGCCCCTTTTTAAGAGATTTGGGTATGGAGGAAAATAGAGAGGGTTGTGTTTTCTGACACTTGGTGAGTTCCCTGGAACACCGGGGACACTGATTCATGTATAAAAGACGTACAAAAGTGCATTTTGCATGATAGGTCACCTTTAACAAAAATAATAATAGTAATGAAAATAAGCCTACAAGTGTTCTGGGTAGCCTTATTGAGTAAGTGTAATCATGTCATTGTTTTTTATTTACAGGTTATCGACAATATATTTTGTTGCTACCCTTTTGCTAATCCCAGACTAAAGAATAAATAAGAATAGAAATCCTTCCGTCATAGAGAAAATAATTATATATATATGATCATATTTTTTAATTTAACAAAAGAAACAGTGGCATTATGTTAACAAACTGGTAATTAAAATTCTGAAAATGAATTAATATGTGGTTGTTATGATCAGGACTGGTTAAAAAATGTAGCTCAGTGAAATGTAATGATAATATTAATCTAAATTATTTTTGAGGTAGTTTCTTTAACGACGTTGTTGTCCTTTAATGACATCAGAGAAACGTCATTAAAGGGATGAAAATGGTTTTTTTTCACAACTCCCCTCCATCATCGGGTCTATTTTGACCAAGTAGAGATCGTGCATGACATTAAGGATTTTGGGCCATCTAAGCTAATTTACAGATGGCCCTGAGCCCATTAGAGATTGCCCTGAAAAATTTGTGCGGACGAAATGGCACAAAGGGTTTGGGGGGCCTCCCCCTAGAAAATTTAGATTTTTGCAGGTCTTAAATGCTGTCTGGTGCATTCTCTAGACGGAATTATAAGATGAACCAGCACAATATTATATT